GAATAGAATTTTATCGATTTCTATATAACTTAAAGTTTTATCAGCGATACTCCCAATAAACTCTATTTTTACATATGTTTACTTATCTTAATTCTAAGGTAATTTTTTCACATTGTTGAATATTTCAATTTCATTCCATTCTTTTGATTCCTATTTCCTCTCTTGGCTAAGGTTGTAATTTTAAGGAGCCAAAAATTGGTATTTATGATTGGAAAATAGTATGTCATTGCTGAATTCCTTGCTAAAACTCTCTTTCATTATCTCATCATTAAAATTACTCATTCTTCCTTTTAAATCCTGATATCCCTTCTCAATAAATGGTGTCTCTTTATTTAGATATTACTAGTTCTCTTAGGATTCAATATTAAGCTCCAACTCACTTTACTACCAAAGCTCTTAATGCGATCTTAATAGGATGTCTTCATATTAAGGATCATAATGATTAGCAAAGATTTGTTCAGCATTTTCAATTTAATTTGTAAAAACTGAACACTATAATTCATGCTGCCCACTAAATTATTATCTAGTCTCCGAATATTACTATATAGTCCACATTAGGCATTGAAACTTTTCATCAGGATGTGCAAATTAGGATAACTCCCCAATAGTTTATGAGTTTATTTTTATGCTTGAAATTTTTCGAATCTCAAATAAAGGAACTAGGACTCTTAGTAGATTTGACTTCGTCATAGAATGAATTTCAAGTCTTATCCAAATTTAGAATTCATACTAAGAGACTCTTTTAAATTGGAATTTGCAGATGAAAGGTAAGTACCCATCTCTTTAGTTGATATCGATATTATAGCTCAAAATATTAGTCTCATGATTATTTGTCGCGAAATATGTCAATTAATTCAACTTTTGCTGATCAATACTTTATTAGTCATTCAATTTTTTCAAGGTTGCTCCTCTATCTATAGAAACTTGCTTTAATATATTTCGACCTGAAAAGGTTATAGTCATTTCGCATGATTGATGTAATTTAGCAAAAGACTGGATTTATCCATTAACTTTGCAGAGTGGTTATTCATCAATTTTTAAAGATGATGAGTCATTGATCATACTCATTTCTTCAATTATGTGTATATATAGCTATTCTTTTTAAGTTTCAAGGTTCTGTTAGTTATTATGATTCTGCTAGGTATACAGAAAATCAGGATTCCATTCTAACTACTGACTTTTATTTAATATTGTTGTAGATTGTTACGGTACTTGTCTTTTCAATAGTTTAGATTCATTCGCTAGCATGTTGCTACTTAGCATACTTTTCATCATTTCATAACTCAACTAAAAATCATATGATTTCAAGTCCCCAAATGGTAGCATCATATCAATTAGTAGCTAGAACCATTCCCAAAATCTTGATTGCATATTTTATATATTAGCTTTGTTATCCCTTATTATGGCATGAAGTTTTTCAATAAATTCAAGTACTTTTATTTAAAGTAGACCTTTCTCTTCAAATAACAAACTAGCAGTTTGCTTATCAAATTCTTAGCTCTCATCTATATTAATCTTGAAAACATCATCCTCTATCGGTGATAAAAATATCATGATGTACTAGTTCTCAGATTAACTTATTATGATTGGCCATAATTCCGAATTATTAATTTGTAGACTATTTAAAATCTTCCCAGATTAAAATAAGATATTCTTGTTTTTATCCTGATGCACAGAATCAATTTCATTCTTAAGCTACCTTTCTATATTTTATAGCATATTATCTTGCCAATCTTCGAAATATATGCTATAATCAGGCAAGTGCTACAATTTCAATTTTTCGCCTTCTAATTTTTAAAGTTGGATATACTATCTAGAAAATGCTAGTTTCAACACTGAATTGTCAGGTATAGGGTGATAATCAAATTGAGAATAAAATTTGCCTTTATTTTCTATCTGACTACTCAGCAATTTTTTTAATCTTTACTCAACTGTAATAAATCTTTTTGAATATATTATTTCCTCTGAATTGGTGTCAATTATAAAAAGTGCTCTCATTTGTAGATAATTTTATTATTTATAATTTCTCATTAATAATTATTGCATTTAATTTACTAACTAGGGGGTTTTGGGGTTTTGGGG